GTCGGCCCTCCGGAGAAGTTTTAATGAATACTTTCCCGTCTATCGACCACGTACTAACCAGAAGACCCTCTTTGCGTTTTTGGTTGGCTTGCTTCAGGAGCTCCCGTCTGTAGGAAGTGAGGTTTTCGTTGAGATAAATTCTTTCTGCAGCCACTCGCGTTGCCGCGGTTGAGAAGGGAAATAAATCCGATACCTGGACATTTTTTAGTTTGATTCTTGCCTTGTGTAATCTTGACTTCACCTTGTGACTTTGGAATTTTATTTTTTGTACCTTATCTTTCGCCCAGTCACGTAAAACGTTCCGCCGTAGACCCTATTCATAAATCGCTGCCAGTTTAAAATTCTTTTGCATGCACTTAAATTAGCCCAACTAGCCTTGTTTTGAGAGTAAAAATTCTTTGGAAATATTAAATCAAAAACGAAGTTAGTTGGGCTAATTTTAATGCTTACCAAAGGATATTTAATTGGCAGCCATTTATGAATAGGGTCTATAACACAGAGGGAAAAACTGTGTAATGATGACGTCAATCGTGCGTCTGTCCTCTAAGAGATCATAGGCGAGAACCAATCAAGATGCGAGAATAATTTGGGTTATTATATAAAAGAGTACAGACCACGCTAAACCACATTCGATTTGTTAAATGGAACAACTGTTTAAGTCCTAAAAATAGTATAACACGGAGAGCCCAGGAGAATTAAACATTCGATCAGATCAGAGGCTAACGTAATATGTAGTTTGTAATCTTGAAGACAGAGTTGTTTTTGAGGAAAAAACACACGTACCACAATCATTGGTATTGATTGGAAGGTCTCCCTCCATTACGGTCGCCTTCACAGGATAAACGCCTTTTCCCAAAAACTCGCCTCCAGCCAGGAGTTTCACCTGTTAACAGACGACAAATAGTGACGTTAGATTTCTAGCCGTCTCAAATGAGAAGATGGTTTTTCTGTCAGTGACGCGGGCATACTTGGAAAAAAAATTCCCAGTTCTCCAGCTAGGAGTCGAATCCAAGACCTTCCAGTTACTAATTGAAATGCTCCACTGAGCTCCTGTAGAAGACTTGTGGAAGCTAAGGCCATTACACTAGGTTCGTGTCTCTGGTATCGATGTTGCACAGTGTGTTCCATTTTCTCGGACTTATAAGTTTTAAGACACGCTTTACTATGAAAAGAAAACAATTGAGTGTTGAGGAATTATTTCCAGTGTAAAATTTGACAAAGTGAGAATCGAGAAATGGTGCATTATATGAACTTTTTTGTATTGTGTTTCCAAAAACGTAAGCTTCGCCGCACTTCTACAATTTAGCAATTTCAACTTTTTTTTCAGTCGTGGTAAGAAAATAGCGCGAACGTCACGAACGCAAAGAGGGTCTTTGAGAGGACTGATGACGTTGCAAAAGTGTGTTTAAGTTCCGAAACTTGGAATAGGTAGCGTTTTGAGGCTCAAAAACAAATTATAACGCAGTCGCGCTATAACGATATAGCGTTGTAACGCGCTATAACGTTTGTAACGAAGCCGCGCTATCAAACTCAGTATTCGTAAGCGTGAATCATATTCCAATGACACTCGCTCATAGCTTCGCAACTTGGCAATGTTATAAAGCAATTGATTCATTCTTTTAGCTGTGCATCATTATATTGCTAGCTAGAGTGTCTCCTGACTGCGCAGCGTGCAAATCTTACGCTTCCTATATGCTTTCCAAACTTCCTGTGTGCATCATAACTTTCGAGACACTTGCGATTGCAAAGCTTGCAGCATTGCTAATGGCATTAAAAAATTGCGATTTAATGAAAAATTGCACTCTCGGAAATACGCCTATTTTTCGAGAACCACTCATTAGAATTTCACGAAATTTGGCACGAAAATACTTTACGAAGTAAGTAACTAGAGTATTGGAAAAAAATTGAACTTTAACAAAGGAAATTCTAGATATTACAGTGAACCTTCAAGAAGGAGTAATTAAAGATCTCTCTGTTAAATTATTATCAAAATAGTGTTAACTTGTGAGTATCGTTACAAGCTTGTTGTACGCAAATTATAAAGAAAATGTAATGACGAGATTTTCTGCAAATAAACAAAACCGATTTTAAAGGCCTTTTTATATGTAGTCATGTTGTCATGGCAACGGAACACACGTCAGCTTAACTATCAAAAAACCGAAGTTTGTGTTGTTAACTTGCCTGCTGCCATTTTTGGCGACCAAAGGATCAAGGGTTTGAGAGAAAATGGTGAATGAAACACAAGTAACAAAAACTGTGTTGAGCCACCTTAAAGATCTATAATGACTGGATTTATGGAAAATGTGTTGAGAAATTGCACCAAAATAGCGGACATGTTTTTGGAAAATCGGACAGATACTGTACATAAATAAGGCCATGTGGTACTGAGAGCGCTATCTGCCTCGTGTACTTTTAAAAGAGGCCATAAAATCCCTGTATAAGCTGTTTAAGTCGCTGCAAATGAGTCGAACGAGTCAAACAAAGCTAAATTAGAGCTGAAATTGATCATTTGATTCGCGGCACTAATTTAGACAGGCTTAACCTCTGCGATTTCACCTGAATGAACTCACTATGTCTTTACTGTGGGTTAAATTAACCAATCATGGCGACAAGAGCATGGTAAGCAGTGGAATCGGTTATTTACTTCTATATTTCAGCGAAAAAGTAGCCCTTAAGTGACATTTAATTTCAATATCTGTTTGGATTCGCAAAAAGATAGCCACAGAATTTGACTTGTCGCTGATAATCTTGATACAATTCTGTCCTAGAGCTAGCTTTCCACAAGGCTCAAGTAAAAGGAAATAACTCTCCTGTATGTCTTTTGAGGCCAGGACGACTAAATTAACCGTCTTGTCGTTGAATCATGAATTGTACAATTTAATTAAGACTGCTTTTAACAGGAAACTGGAGTCTAAATCCACACGTTAGTCACAAAAAAATAAATAATATGATGATGACGGTGTTGACATCGAGCTCGATGTTACTGGAGTCGGCAAGTCGCCCTCTCTTGAAGGTGGCCTTGGCGCACTTGTCCAATCCGAACTCCTTGCCTATGTCGTCACTGAAAGATTTGATGGTTCTCAGCAGGCCCGTTTGCTCGTCGTCATTTTTCGCGTAGGTCTTCAAGTCATCCATGTAGAAGAAGTAGCTGATCCTCCCATGGGGGGTGTTGTAGCCATAGCCACTCTTGTTCAGGAGGGAGCTTAGAGGAGCAAGAGCAAGAGAGAAGACTAGGGGTGACAGAGAGTCTCCCTGATAGATGCCACTTTTGATTTCGATAGGTCTGGAAGTCATCATACCCTTATAGTGGTTTAGGTGGAGGATCGTCCTCCACTTCTTCATGTTTTCCCGTATGAATCGGGTGATAGTGGGGCAGATCTTGTAGAGTTCGAGGCTCTTGATGATCCAGGTGTAGGGCACACTGTCAAA